AATTCAGCAACCGGATCGATGTAGTCATTCTCTATGATTCTGCGTTTTTAGTTTTCTCGAATCTGCAATATTGTGGATGCAACAGATTTTCGTCCTTTGTGTGGGCGGAAGGGGGTGGTGCGAAATTTTGAGATATACGTTTTATAGTGAGATCTAACAGGAGTGCGGATACTAAATTTGGTTACTCTAGCCTTAATAGTCCCTGAGATTTGTGAATATCCCCAGATTTGCATTCTTTGCGGGGGCGGAAGGGGGTGTGGCGAAATTTTGAAACAAACTCGTCTCGGTCCGATATATTAGGAGTGTGGATACCAAATTTGGTTGCTCTAGCTTTTATAGTCTCTGAGATCTAGGCGCTAATGTTTTACTCTAAGCAAAGCCGCCTATGCTACGTGTGTGTTAGAGAGAGACAGGGCGAGAAAAAATGAAATTGTTTTCTTGATGCTGGCTATAATAATAATACGATCCAATTCAGATTCTGCAGTCTAAAAGATATGGTCATTCTCTACGATTCTGCGTTTTTGGTTTTCTCGTATCTTGTGAGGAAAGGTATTCCCACACGTAGGGGGCAGTATAGGGTTAAGCGCTAACGGCCGTTATCCGGGGATATCCGGAGGCGGCGAATTCCCGAGGAGAGCTCTCCCGGGGACCCAAGATGAGAGGGGAGGACCCCTGGAGAGAGAGCAGCGGGATGACGGGATCGGGCCGGCAGTGGCCCAGCGCATGACAAAATATGGTCATGAGATCACGCCACCAGCCAGGTCCCGTTGGAAAGCGACAAGGGAATGAAGGAACGCCGATGGAAAAATACGGGCACCGCATGGCGGAAAGTGCCGTTAGCGCCAGGCGGCATCGGCGGCGCCGACGCAGAAGCGAGCCTATAAGAGGAGGGCCGCGACCAGGAACAGGGAGAGTCAGCAAACGGAGCTAGCAAGAGTGAAGTGAATAGTGAGCCACAAGAGTGAGACCAAGCGAAGGGAAAAGAACTTTAGAAAGCGAACGCGTTGTGTGAGGATTGAGAGGCGGACTCGAGCGTGCAGCCAAGAGCCAAAGACCCCAATCCCTTGAACCAACGGTGCCACGCTTGAAGCGCATCCCACCAGGAGTGAGGCACCCTCGGGCCGAAAAGCCAAGTGAGTCGAGTGAGATGGAACGCGTCAGGCGCCTGACTGAGAGGCGGATTTGGGCCACGTGCCAAGACTAGCCCCAGTCAGTAGAGCCGGCGGGTACACGCTTGGCGACGCCGTGGGGGGCCCAGGGAGCGACACGCTCATCGAACCACAGAGGAGAACCAAGAGGAGAACCAGCACCGGAGTCGGAATAGCGTAGGATAGACTTAAGATACCAATAAAGCATATTAGCATACCAGTACAAGACCCAACCCGTGCCTTCTTACTTATCGTCGCAGCGAGCCTACCGACCGCTGAGCCAGCCCAGCTGCATCAGACGGAAAAGAACGGTTCGTTACAACTGGCGCCCAACGTGGGGCCTCTCGACAAGTAAAAGACAAAGTGCATTTGGGAAGGGCGGTACTGAGTTTAGTATCGCGAGGACATAAAAATGAGGAGCCGACGATGGGTTCATTCATTGAGGAAAGAGGACTTGGTCCAGTGCGCGCGGGCGTGCGGTCTTCGATTGGAAGGCACGCTGACCGAGATGCGCCGAATCTTCAAGGAGTGGATAGAGAAGCATGGAGAGAAACCGGAGTATGCGGACGCGCTCGAGGCCTGGGAGATGAAGGCGGGAGGAGCCGCGACCGCGGCCCAGATGGAGGACGGGGCGGATCCATACGAGCGCCTGACGCTGCCGGCGAGTGCGGAGCAAGTAACTCTGTGGAGACGGCCGTCCGAGACCCAAGAGGAGCTCATCGCGAGCCTGGCGGTCCCGGTGAAAAGCCGGTGGCCTAGCCGACCGCGGGCAGAGAGTGGGGAGAGGCCAACCAGGCCAGCACAGCCGGAGCAAGGGAGCGCGAGAAACCCACAGGGATTGGAAGAAGGGAGAGCAGGGGAGGATCGTAGACGGGGACTCGATGAACAAACCACGAGACCGCCCAGTTCGAGTTTTGCCCACGTCGCCAAGCAGGTCAGGGAGTGGTCGTTTCGGTTCGACGGAACGGCGAAACCACTCGAGTTCCTGGAACAGATCGAGTGGTCAGCCGACATGTACGGGTTGGAGTTGAATTTAATTCCGCGAGCCATGCCTGAGCTGCTAAAGGGTCGGGCGCTCATGTGGTTTGTAGCCAACAACAGGCAGTGGCAGACATGGAACGCATTTGCGCGTAGCTTCCAAGCATACTTCCTGCCGAGAGGGTATTTTGAAAAATTACTCCAGGAGGTGAGGTTGAGGAAGCAAAGGTGGGGAGAGCCATTCAAGGACTACATGGTGGAGATGCAGACCCTCATGCGGCTACTAAAATGCACGCCCGAAGAGCAGTTGGAGCTTATTAGAGACAACAGCATGCCCGATTTTAGGGTGTTCATCCGGCCACATAGGTGCAGAGACCTGGATCACATGATGACGCTGGCCGACGAATTTGAGGCTCTGGAGAGGGACCGGCTGGAGTTCCAACGGGAGTGTCCGGCGAGTAAAGCAAAAGCAAACAATCCGTTCGCTCGTCCGGCAGTAACGGAGATATGTCGCCGCTGCCAGGGCAAAACGGCAGCCAGCTCTGATCCGACAGGGGAGAAAAGGCCGGTCCCAACGCGGCGGGACGACCAAGCGAACACGAACATAGAGGCTGGGTTCGTGAAAAACCCAGCCCAGTCGTGTCGACGATGCGGAAGTGACCGCCATTGGGCACAAGCAATCAAAGGCCGACCGATAACAAGCAAGGTAGGAGCCCCGACATGGCAGTGCTGCCAGAAAGCGGGAAACGCCCCGCGACCCAAGCCGCGGAGGGCCGTGCCAGGGTCGCAAGACGAAGCCCCCCAAAACTCGTAGGAGAACTCACGGTGGAGGATGTCCAGCTGTCGGCGGTGGTGAGGATCGCGGGCAGCAACTGGTCATACCGGGGCGACAAGCAGTTTTATCAGCGACCTGTCCTGTGCGGGACACAGGGTTGTGATCCCTGCGAGAGGCCACCGCCAGGGGCGGTTGGAGGAGAAGTTGTCAGTGGCGGTGGTAGCGAACACGGGAGGGTCTGTCGAGCCCGCATCCGACGGAACGCGAGCGGAGGAGGGGTCGGTCGAAAACTTCCTGGCAAAGGAGTTGGAAGAGTTCCGAGAACTGAAGGGAGTGTCGAACATAGCTACACACACGATCACTATGAGTGATGCCCAGCCGGTCAAACAGCGTTACTATCCCAAAAATCCCAAGATGCAAGCCGAAATCAAGCAACAGGTTGACGAACTGCTGGAAAGAGAGTGTATTGAGCCATCGAAGAGTCCGTACAGTTCACCCATCGTGATGGTCAAAAAGAAGACGGGAAAGTGGAGATTATGCGTGGACTTCAGACAGATAAACGCGAAGTCCATCAAGGAATGCGTACCCCATGCCAAGAATAGACTTATTTTGGACCAGCTCAGGGAGGCACGGTTCATCAGTAGCTTAGACTTAAAGGACGGATATTGGCAGATACCACTGGAGGAAGGCAGTAGAAAGTTCACCGCGTTCACGGTGCTCGGCAAAGGGCTGTTCCAGTGGAAGGTGATGCCATTCGGACTCCACTCAGAACCAGAGGGAACCAGTGGAACTGGGATGAGAAATGGCCAGAGATAATGTTGGCCGTAAATTCAGGGATGTCCGAATCCACCGGGTACTCGCCGGCGTTTGTGGTCCAAGGGAGAGAGCCGAGGCTACCAAAGGCTCTATACGATGACGAAGCGCTTGGCACAGGACAGGGCACGCCCAATCCGGACGAGAACGCGGCCAAGTTGAGAGAAGTATTTCAACTGGTGAGGCGGAATCTCGAAAGAGCGGCGCAGGACCAGGCGAGGTATTATAACCTGAGGAGGAGAGCGTGGAAACCCACGATTGGAGACAAGGTATGGGTCAAGCAACACCATCTATCCAACGCGGCCGAAGGGTTTGCGGTAAAACTGGCCCCGAAATATGACGGTCCCTACACCATAATGGATTTCGTGTCCCCGGTCATTTGTAAATTAAAGAAGGACAGCGAGAAACGGACGCGGACCGCCCATATAGGGGACCTGAAGCCACAACCCGGGGAAGGAAGCCCTAAAACAGGCCCTGGAACCGAAGCGTAGACGACGCACAAGGAGGGGCAACGGGCGAGGCATACGGAGAAGGATGGACGAGCACGAAAGACAGAGACTAGCGGCAGGGGCAGAAAGGAGAGTCCCAGCTGGATGCCACGCAGGACAAGGTCGTACAGGATACTCTTACAACTAAGGTTCGGTAAAACTAAGAACCACGCGTGTCACGCAGGACAGGAATCGCCCACAAGGGAGGAGCGGGCGGCCCAACTTGATGCCACGCAGGACAAGGCCGTACAGGATACTCTTACAACTAAGGTTCAGTAAAACTAAGCAGCAGACGGCGGCCGGCGGACCAATAAAGCTGGACCTACAAGAAAAAAAAGGAGGATTAGCTCGTCAGCCAATAGGAACTGATCAAAGGCAAAGAAGGTAGAAGATACCCGGGTTACCACTATCCCAGGGGGGGCGGGTTGCGTGGTGCGTCGACGGACGAGGGGGCACCCGAGAAGGGGGTTCCGAGATGAGCAGAGGTTCGGGTCCGGGTCCAGGGCATCGAAGCCAGCTGCTAACGTCGGGGATGGCGGGACAAAAGCGGATGCCGCCCGTGCGCGGTCTACCGGCTGGGGAATCGGATGATCCCTGGGTCTTAGGCGCTGCACGGGGGTGACATCCGCATCTAAGCCGATCCAGAGACGGGCGGAGCTGGCCACGGGGGGCGGGCCGATGTTTGGCAGCACGGGCGAAAGGTCGGAGGACCTATTGATCACGAGCTGGGAGATCGGTCAGCACCCTGGTATATATATAACGGAGCAGAGGAAATGGATTCGCCGCGGGTATCAGGCTATGGGTGATACGCAAAGTCGGCGGCAGGCGTACCAGGTCGAACGCGAGGAGCAAAGGGCGAGTAGGAGTAGGTCCCCGGAGCTACAGTTATTGGCCTCACCGCTAGTGTCAACCGCGGGATCCATGGGACCGACGGTATCCCCGGTGGTATCGCCGGGGTACACCGAGGCGGAAAGTGACCTGGAATTGGTGAGCTGGGAGCCGGCGCCACGGAGAAAACGCGCACGCGAGGCGAAGCGCGAGGAGCCCCGGACCAGCAAGCACGAAGAGCCCCGGACCAGCAAGCGCGAGGAGCCCCACACCGGCAAGCGCGAGGAGCCCCGGACCAGCAAGCACGAAGAGCCCCGCACCGGCAAGCGCGAGAAGCCCCACCCCAGCAAGCGCGAGGAGCGGCCTGATGGAGGAAGGAGGGGGCGCACGGAGACGCGGAAGGAGGAGCCCAGTGAGCGGGCATCGAAGCGGGCGTCCACGCGTTCGACGCGTACGGCCAAGGAAGAGGAGTCGTCGGCACGCACAAGGGGGACATCGACGGCGCGGCGAGGGGATCAGCGGCCGACAGACCCACAGGTCGAGGAGCCGCAGCCAACGCCGACCGAAACCGCGGTCAAAGAGCCGCAGACAACGCCGACAGAAACCGCGGTCAAAGAGCCGCAGGCAACGCAGGCCGACATCGCGGAAAACAACGCGGCCGCTGAGGCACGACGCCTCGCGGAATGGCACCGGCGGTTCGCGCTGGCCGCGGCGACGGAGGAGCGGAGGCAACGGCGTGTATGGGAGGACGCCCTGACGCTGGCAAAGAGGCTGAAGGCCACGCAGGAGGCTGAAAAGGCGGCGCAAGAAGCGGAGGCGGAGCGCCACAAACGGGACGTCGCGCACCAATGGCGGTGTATTAGCCGGATCAAGCCGGCTGACAACGCGCGCGGCCAAGGGGATCGGCATCAGCAGCAGCATCAGCAGCAGCAGCATCAGCAGCAGCAGCATCAGCAGCAGCAGCAGCAGCAGCATCAGCATCAGCAGCAGCAGCAGCAGCAGCACTGGCACGGGCCACAGGGAGCCGCCATCGGGCCGTTCGTCTCGCAGGAGGTGCGCTCCGCGGTACGAGACGGCATGATGTGGCACGTGCAAACGCTGCACATATCGTGGGCCTCTGGGCCCTCGCCCCAGCAGCCCGGGCAAGAGGCGAGGGAGGCTCGACTGTGGGAGGAGGCACCACGCGCCAGTGACGAGAGGGACCCGAGGCGGCGGGCACGGCCACAGGAGTCGACAGGCCCAGCGGTGGCACCCACAGCCGAAAAGGTGCCCGAGGAGGCGCCCGGGGGGACGGCAGAGGTCGAGACGGAGGGAACGACGAACACGCCAACATCACTGACGGCGGAGGGCCCAGCGGCGGCACCCAAAGTCGAGGTGGCGACCGACGGCGAAGCGGATGACGGCGCGAGAGCAACGGCGGAAGCGAAGAAGGACGAACACTCACCTGAGCCATGGGAGAGAGGTCCTTGGCGATGGCCGGAACCCGGCCAGGGCGAGCGTCCGAAGCTGGGCCGACAGGCGTCGTGCCCAGGGGAGCGGGCGGAGGCGCGCCGGCCCGAGCTCCAGCGCCAGGCATCGTGGCCCCAGACGAGGTCGGCGGACAACTCACGGTGGCGGTCCGTCAAACGCGAGGAGTGGCCGGCCGTCGTCCCGCGCTCTCTCGCGCGGATAAAGCCAACCGCAAGGAGAGTGAAGCGTCTGGTCAATGACGGTGGCGTCCGGTACCGGCTATTGGTGTCCATCGATCGGCAGGAGGTATTCCGGGCTAGGTATTGAGGAGAAAAGAAGAGTAGAGAAGAAGAATGAAAGAAAAAGTAACTGAAAACAAGAACAAATAAAAGAAAAACGAGGGGGAACGTCGCTAATATTAAACGACACGACAAAGAGTGCGTGCGAGAGAGACAGAAAATCAGTCTGAGCGTGACGTCACGCGCTGCGTAGCCACTGTATATTGATTTGTTTCCTTTGGCTATAAAAATGATCTGATCTGATCCAGATTCAGCAATCTGATAGATATGGTCGTTATATATGATTCTGCGTTTTTAGTTTTCTCAAATCTGCAATATTGTGGATGCAACAGATTTTCGTCCTTTGTGGGGGCGGAAGGGGGTGGGGCGAAATTTTGAGATAAAGGTTTTATAGTGAGATCTAACAGAAGTGCGGATACCAAATTTGGTTACTCTAGCTTTAATAGTCTCTGAGATTTGTGAATATCCCCAGATTTGCATCCTTTGCGGGGGCGGAAGGGGGTGTGGCGAAATTTTGAAACAAACTCGTCTCGGTCCGATATATTAGAAGTGTGGATACCAAATTTGGTTGCTCTAGCTTTTATAGTCTCTGAGATCTAGGCGCTAATGTTTTACTCTAAGCAAAGCCGCCTATGCTACGTGTGTGTTAGAGAGAGACAGGGCGAGAAAAAATGAAATTGTTTTCTTGATGCTGGCTATAATAATGATACGATCCAATTCAGATTCTGCAGTCTGAAAGATATGGTCATTCTCTACGATTCTGCGTTTTTGGTTTTATCTTATCTTTAAAATTGTGGATGCCACAGATTTTCGACCTTTGTGGGGGCGGAAGTGGGCGGGGCAAAGTTTTGAAATATTTTTGTAGCAGTGACATATCACAGAAGTCTGGATCCAAAACATCGTTGCTCTGGCTCTTATAGTCTTTGAGCATTAGGCGCTGAAGGGGACGGACAGACGGACAGACGGACGGACGGACAGACGGACAGACGGACGGACGGACAGACGGACAGATGGACAGCCAGACATGACTCAATCGACTCGGCTATTGATGCTGATATACTTTATGGGGTCGGAAACGAATCCTTCTGGACGTTACACACATCCACTTTTACCACAAATCTAATATACCCCAATACTCATTTTGAGTATCGGGTATAAAAACAGGGTCATACCTTGCATCAGAGGAACAGCGGGGCATCGCTAGAAATGATCGGTAAAGCTTGAATGAAGGCGGCGGAAGGCGTGAAAGCGGGAGGAAAACTTACCCGAAGCATCCAGAGGGCCAGAAAACCAGGAAACCAGGAAAACCAGACGCGCACAAGAAAAACAAAGAAAACACCCGGCATCGCGAGAAAATAGTACGTTTCCAGTCCATTGAGGAATTCGCGATCCGGAAGTAGAATACGCACGCTGCGACATATCGAGTAGATCACAAAAACGACCTTACGCTTTATCGAGTGGAGCGTAAGGGCAACGCTGTGTCATATCGAGTAGGTCAGAATAGCGACCATACCCTATATCGGGCGGGGCAAAAGAAGCAAAAGAAGCACCCGGGTCGAGAACAAAGCAAACCTGGGACGCGGAAAACCGGGGTTTTCCGCCAATAAAAGAAAGGGGGAAGTGTGAGGAAAGGTATTCCCACAAGTAGGGGGCAGTATAGGGTTAAGCGCTAACGGCCGTTATCCGGGGATATCCGGAGGCGGCGAATTCCCGAGGAGAGCTCTCCCGGGGAACCAAGATGAGAGGGGAGGACCCCTGGAGAGAGAGCAGCGGGATGACGGGATCGGGCCGGCAGTGGCCCAGCGCATGACCAAATATGGTCATGAGATCACGCCACCAGCCAGGTCCCGTTGGAAAGCGACAAGGGAATGAAGGAACGCCGATGGAAAAATACGGGCACCGCATGGCGGAAAGTGCCGTTAGCGCCAGGCGGCATCGGCGGCGCCGACGCAGAAGCGAGCCTATAAGAGGAGGGCCGCGACCAGGAACGGGGAGAGTCAGCAAACGGAGCTAGCAAGAGTGAAGTGAATAGTGAGCCACAAGAGTGAGACCAAGCGAAGGGAAAAGAACTTTAGAAAGCGAACGCGTTGTGTGAGGATTGAGAGGCGGACTCGAGCGTGCAGCCAAGAGCGAAAGACCCCAATCCCTTGAACCAACGGTGCCACGCTTGAAGCGCATCCCACCAGGAGTGAGGCACCCTCGGGCCGAAAAGCCAAGTGAGTCGAGTGAGAGCGAAAGCGTCAGGCGCCTGACTGAGAGGCGGATTTGGGCCACGTGCCAAGAATCGCTAGCCCCAGTCAGTAGAGCCGGCGGTGCCACGCTTGGCGACGCCGTGGGGAGCCCAGGGAGCGACACGCTCATCGAACCACAGAGGAGAACCAAGAGGAGAACCAGCACCGGAGTCGGAATAGCGTAGGATAGACTTAAGATACCAATAAAGCATATTAGCATACCAGTACAAGACCCAACCCGTGCCTTCTTACTTGTTTGTAGCGGCGTCTGCCGGAGGAGAGCCATACTGACTTAGTATCGGGTATAGCTGTAGAGTTGCGGTGTCCGCAGCAACTCACAACGTTCCCCCTCGTTTTATTTTGGAAATATACAAAACAAAACTTTATAATATATCGTCGAATTATTTATGTCGGGTCAAGCAGCTTAAATATTTTAAATTATTGCCAGTGGTGCGGCCCAAAGGAAATGCATTTTGGTTTTGTCGTTTCCAATGCCCCCACTGCAAAGATCATTTGCTACCGCATATGCGCATGCAGCGGAATTCTTTCGTCTCCTTATGTCGCAATCTCTCGGACTCGGCTTAACAGCGTCCCCGAGCAGCTCTAACGCTCTCGGGCTATCATACGCTCTCGCTCGCGTCTAAGCTTGCTGCATAGGGCCCGGCAGATTGGCCCTTCAGCCCTTGCATGGGCAGTTTTGAGCTAATCGTCGCAGCTATTAGATTAACATCCTCGCATCAATCGTTCGCCCAATCATTGCCATATGTACATACGCGATAAGTAGGTTTACATATGCAAATAAATTGTGAATTATAACAGCCTCTCGACTTTCATTAACTTCAAATTGCAACAGTTATTAAAAACGCCTAATAGCTTAACATTTGGTGACCCCGACGTGATTGTGCAATAAATAATCTATCAGTGCAATCACCAACTAATATAGCATTCAAAGATCTAAACTAATTGCCATCTCAACCAGTGTCATCAACCACATAAGTTATCCATAAGTTATCTATTGCTCGTGTTACTCTTTGCGACGATGGCAGCCATGTGACTAAAACTTTAGGACTTGCGTGGGATCCGGTTTCTGATCTACTATTATTTTCGCTCTCGGCCCTTCAATCTTCTTTGAATTCCTGCTAGCGCTCTGTTTTGTCATCCATAGCGCGATTCTACGATCCTCTCGGACTAGCTGGTCCCGTAATTACTAAATCCAAAATCTTTCTCCAGCGTTTGTGCCAAGAGAAGTTGTCCTAGGATGAAAGCCTTCCAGTCGCACTGAACACCGAGTGGCAGGAAATATGCACCAGGTTTGGTCAGATTCGTCGACTTGAATTTCCTCGGCTTGTAGTCCTTCCAGACTCTACGCTGGAAATTCACGGATTTTGCGATGCCAGCAACGAGGCTTATGGTGCATGCATTTTTGTCATGTCCTAGGGTCAGCATTCCAGCAGTCACTTACTGTGTGCCAAATCTCGTGTGGCTCCTTTGAAGACACTTACAGTACCAAAGTTGGAGCTTTGTGGAGCGGAGTTGCTGGCTAGGCTCATATCTGAGATAGCTGGAATGAATGTATTCAAGGGAAGGTGTTACTGTTGGTGTGATTCTGCCGTTGCGCTCTCTTGGATTCGGGACGAGCCGTCAAGATTTAATATTTTTGTTGCAAATAGAGTGTCAACGATTCAGGAAATGACCGAAAAAATGGAATGGCGCTATGTTCCCACAGCTTTAAACCCAGCCGACATTCTGTCTCGAGGGGCTCATCCGACTGAGCTGAATGAGTCACCTCTTTGGGCTCATGGTCCTCCATTTCTTTGCGGCTCCTCAGATGACTGGCCACCCACTGTGCTACCTGATAAGCCAGCCCTTGAACTTCGTCGGAAGGCTCTTCTGCTCAAATCGCCCTACATGGACATTATTGCTAATTCCAAGTATGCGAATTCATTTCCTTCTTTGCAACGCGTTTTCGGATACATTCACAAGTTTTGCAACCGAATTCGGCGCCCCGGTCTCACTGTCTCAGACATTGAACATGGAACCCAGGTATTGCTACGACTAGTCCAGCGTACTCATCTATGGGAGGACATGAAGTCACTGCGGGCAAGGGGAGCAGTCTCCTCATCGAGCTCAATCGCATCGTTATCGCCATTCATGGATCAGTTTGGACTTCTCAGGGTAGATGTTCGACTGAAAAGCTCTTCGTTGGAATTTGATGGCCGTCATCCAATCATCTTGCCCAGCAGCCATCCACTGACTCTTGCAATAATCTCCCATTTTCATGAGCGGAATCTGCAGGCTGGTCCTCGAGCTTTGCTTGGACTAATTCGTTCCCAATATTGGCCTATTGGGGGGAGGAAGACGGTAAACAAGGCAGTAAACAAGTGCGTAAGATGCTTTCGACTGAAGCCCAGGGTATTGGAGCATATTATGGCGGATCTTCCAAAGGAGCGGCTCGATGGTTCTCATGCCTTTGAGATCACAGGCGTGGACTTCTGTGGGCCGTTTTTCTACAAACCGGAGGCACGCAACAAGGCTCCAATCAAGTGCTACATCTGCATCTTCATTTGTTCCGCTACCAAGGCTGTTCATCTGGAGCTTATAAAGAACTTATCCACAGTTGCTTTTCTACATGGACTAAGGCACTTCATATGTACTAGACGAAAGCCGCGGCAAATTTGGTCAGACAACGCAACCAATTTTGTCGGCGCTAAGAATGAGCTGATGGAATTAAAGCGCCTGGTCCTCAGCGATGACCATCAGAAGGCGCTGCTGGATTTTTGCTTGGTCGAGGCTATAGACTGGCATTTCATTCCTCCGCGCTCCCCTCATTTTGGTGGTCTATGGGAGGCTGCAGTGAAGACGGCCAAGTACCACTTCTACCGTGCGATAGGCAACTCGGTTCTTGGATTTGACGAGCTGCGGACGCGGTTGTGCCACATCACGGCAGTGATTAATTCAAGACCTTTAGTTTCAATTTCAGAGAGCCCTGCCGATCTAGACGTTCTAACTCCAGCGCATTTCTTGAATGGTGGCCCTCCTGCTTCGTTCGCTGAGCCTGACGTCACGCAGCTAAACTTCGATCGCCTGGACGGCTGGCAGCGCGTTTCGTACCTGCAGCAGCTCTTTTGGTCCCGGTGGAAGGAGGAGTACATAACGTCACTGCAGCAGCGCTCAAAGTGGCGCACTGTGAAGCCTAGTTTAGCTGTCGCCGATTTGGTTCTTGTCAAGGATGAGAATCTTCCTCCCATGAAGTGACCACTGGCGAGAGTGGTCGAGCTTTTGCCTGGACGAGATGGCGTTTCCCGAGTTGCTGTGCTGAAGACGTCATCTGGAATCACAAAGCGCGCCGTCAACAAGCTGTGCCTACTGCCAAATGCTGTTGCTGTTGAAAGTCAGGCTTCCAACGGGGGGAGTATGTCAGATCAAGCAGCTTAAATATTTTAAATTATTGCCAGTGGTGCGGTCCAAAGGAAATGCATTTTGGTGTTGTCGTTTGCACTGCAAAGATCATTTGCTACCGCATATGCGCATGCAGTGGAATTATTTCGTCTCCTTATGTCGCTATCTCTCGGACTCGGCTTAACAGCGTCCCCGAGCAGCTCTAACGCTCTCGGGCTATCTCGGACCCACAACGCTTCCTATGCTAATGCTAATTCGATTGGTGGCGTTTCGCCATCTGCCATCTGTTCTATCTAGAACCACCAGCCGATTATAAAAACAATTGTGTTGAGTAAGGTAGTCTTGAGTAGTCTGAGGTACTCAGACTAGCACAGCGTAATACTTGATACAGCCGAACATCATTAATAATTACTCTTATCAGTCTAGTGTGTGGGTAGTCGGAAGCTCACATCTTTTTTATGTGGTTTTGTAATCTACAAAATGTCTACATAAGAGTGAAAAAAAACCCATATTGATATTTACATCTATAACTATTCTGGAGTAGTCTCTGTGGCTTCTTATTTAGGCACGTCGGACTCAACCAGATTACTTCCGGCATTCAACTGGCCCTGCTGGACATCAACTGAGGATTGCTTTTGTTCGCTTGGAGCTTGGGGCTTCAAAACACTTTTCTCCCGGGATCGTAGAAGATTATCGAGTCCGCCAAAAGGAGCCTCAATGACAACGTAAAGCAGATACGAAATGAAAATAGTGATCCCAAAGTCAGACCAAAATTTCTGCATCTGAAAATCATCAATGAGGTTAGTTAAAAATAAGCAACCATCAACTACTAGAAACAAAACCTACTACAATTTGTCCGAGAAATAAGTATTAGTACGAACGCTTCTACTGTTGACTTCCTGTACGAAAAGGTGTCAGATGTACACGGAATAGGAGAGTCTCGAGAGAGGCTGCCACAATGGCGAGGATAGGAAACTGTTGGCCAGACCGCCATGGCCCTGCATGCAGGCAAAGACGATCCAACACAGGGCTAAGGGCCAGCCCACTCTGGTAAGCGTGTAGTACAGAAACTCCTTGAGGGTGGACAGGGGTGGAGCACTCCATTGGGTCGCAGGGTACAGGGCAAACATCGAGGTGAAGATCATGGCCAGACTAAGAACCCATCCAGACCATACCAAAATCCGGCTTATTTGGAACTTCTTCCTACAATTCAGGTGAAGAAAATATCCAAAAAGAAATGAAATCAGCCAAGGTGCCGAATGAGTATGTGTGGCAGAATACAGTTTCCTTCCGGCATCTCCTTCGGTTCCATTCCTGCAATTAAATGGGGTTGAAGAACTCCAACGACAAACAGAAGCATCGTGGACCTACTTGAAGAGCAATGAGTATTTGTTGACTATCATCGTGGCAAAGAGGCAGGACGATAGTAGGAGAACAAGAACCGCGATGCCAGCTGCTGCCTTTTTGCCCCACTTATACAGTGCAATCAGCAGAAGCGGAGAGATTATATAAAGCTGCATATCCACTGCCCAGTACCATGTGGGATCCAGGCACTGAAAACGATTATCGTACAAATGGTAATAAGAGTAGATCTATGACTTACAATATTGCTTGTAGCATAATTCTGCACGAAGAGCAGCGTCCAGAACCAGCCCTTTTCATAGGCGGCTGTACCATGGAATCCACCTTTAAAATAAGGTCCCCCAGAAACAATGGGCGTCAGCTTTATGTAAACTAGGATTGCTATTGCAAGTATCGGCACGATCCGTATAATACGATGAAGATACATAAGCGGCACATTCAGTTTTCCTTTGGATCTGTAAGAAAATTGGCAATAATTCTCGATGGATACAAAATATCTCAAACACTTACTTATCCATTGAGCGAAGAGCAACCGTAGCCACTAGTAGGCCAGCAATAAAGAAAAAGGAATCAACCGAAAAAAAATCCGTGGAGAATAAAGCTGGAAAAGGATTCCGCGACCCACTAGCAAACAAAAAAACAGAGCTGAATGGTTTTTGCACATACAAGCATGAGGCCACTAAAACCGAAATCATATTGAAGGTATTTATATTTGGAGAAACAAAACAACACAGAATAGGGACATGCAGCGGATTCCATCAAGACAACTGATCACGTTCGGATTCGATTTGCTGTCGACAATGCGGAAGATGGCACGGGAACTTGACCGTGCCGAGCACATCTTCACAGTCACAGAGATACTACCTGGTAGGCAAAATACGAGTTAAATCATTCTGTAAATCATTCCGTTCTCTCCGGTCCTCACTCTGATCCTGGCACAGAAAGTAGTCGTAGAGCGTGCATAGACCCACGATAGTACCCATCAAGCCAAGAAGTACACTGCAATCCATAGTATGAGTCACAGAAATTGATTATGATAAGGTCTAACTTACACTGTGAAAATGGTCATTCCATCCCAAGGTTTCGATTCACTTGTCTGATAGCTGGCCTCGCTAAATTTTATATTTGTGCTGCTTGAGTTCAACAAATTCTGCATTAACTGCTCCAGAAACGTATCCATATGTGCCGCAGAGCAGGAAGCCGGAAAGCAAGATGCGATCTTGATCGAAATGGATACGGCGGGTACAATTAGAAAACAGTACTTTCCATGTATGCTGTGACTACTGGTGATCTCCTCGCTGATCTTGACTCATCGAAGTTACCCAGATGGTAGACATTGCCGGACAGCACTCCTGAGGGAATGGAGCCCCAAGCATCGATCACTGCTCACAAAATTCGTCAACTTCAGTTCTCATTGACTTGAATATAATTTTCATTATTTACTTACTCTTAAGGGCCCATAATTTTCCAGTAGTGAGCGCCTGCATGAACTGAGCCATGTCCGCGAAACACAACAGATCCTCCTGACTGGGTATTCGGGGGTGGAAAAGATCCAAGTCCGGGAGCAATTCATACGGAAGTTTTCGGTAAACTTCCCAGCGGGCGGAGACTTTTTAAACGCTGGTAATCTTGCAGGACATCTCCGTCTTTCAGTTGTGCGGCACTGACAAGTACCAGTCCGCAGACAAGTAGACTGCTTAAAACGTTCACCATGCTAATACTTTTTCGATTGAAGGCATTGCACCTTTCGACTGTGATTTTATAGGAATGTTTTGAGGGAAATCTGGAGATAACATTATCAGTGTGTCAGCTCTCGAGTCGAGTATATCAGCCAAAATGCTTAATTCAGTCAAACATCACCGATAAGGAGCAATCCGTCTAAATTCTATGTAGTCACAAGATCATTTATCTATAATCTTTTCCCAGGTAATCGTTTTACTTATTGACTTTTGATGGATTAAATTTGGTTTTAATATGAGTGAGTAAGAAAAAAACGGAGAAAACTAAAGTTTAGCTAAACATGGATGTAGACAATTTGTTCTATAATTCTGATCATTGCTTAATGATAGCCAATGTGCAATTATTACCATTAGTGGTGGCAGATCCTTTCTTTGTTTCAATGTTTTTTCCAATTCTCATGACAAGTAGCAGCAAAATGGCGAGAGTTCGTGAAGAGATTCCGCCTCCCCGCAACAACCAAATTTAAAACGAGGGGGAACGTTGTGAGTTGCTGCGGACACCGCAACTCTACATTTATACCCGATACTTAGTCAGTATGGCTCTCCTCCGGCAGAGGCCGCTAATATTAAACGACACGACAAAGAGTGCGTGCGAGAGAGACAGAAAATCAGTCAGAGCGTGACGTCGGGCGCTGCGTAGCCACTGCAAATTGATTTCTTGCTTTTGGCTACAAAAATGATCCGATCTGATCCAGATTCAGCGATCTGATAGATATGGTCACTATCTATGATTCTGCGTTTTTAGTTTTCTCGAATGTGCAATATTGTGAATATAACAGATTTTCGTCCTTTGTGGGTGCGGAAGGGGGTGGGGAGAAATTCTGAAATATAGGTTTTATAGTGAGATCTACCAGAAGTGCGGATACCAAATTTTGTTACTCTAGCGATAATAGTCTCTGAGATTTGTGGATTTTCGTCCTTTGCGGGGGCGGAAGGGGGTGTGCCGAAATTTGGACACGAAACAGTCAAGGTCCGATATCACAGGAGTATGGATACCAAATTTGGTTGCTCTGGCTCTTATAGGTTCTGAGATCCTTGAACTCATATTTTGCAATTGGCAAAACCGACCATGAAACCTGTGTGTTTGAGAGAGACAGAGCGAGGAAAAATAAAATTGTATTCTTGATTCTGGCTATAATAATTATACGATCTGGTTGAGATTTTACATTCTAGAACATATAAACATCCTCTACGATTCTGCCTTTTTTGGTTTTATCGTATCTTTAAAAACGTGGATGCCACAGATTTTCGTTCTTTGTGGGGCGGAAGTGGGCGGCGCGAAGTTTTGAAATATTTTTGTGGCGTTGTGGGGTGGGGTGGGGAGACCTGAAAAGAAGGGAGAATCTGTTAGGAACACAACATCGAAGTGGGCCCTGAACTATCACTTGGAGCCGTTCAGAACTGGCTCTGGGAATCATTCAGTACAAATATCGAAAGTACAGGGAACATAAAGTAAATAAAAATTTAAATACAAAACAAAGCCCATGAACGAATATTTCCTCACAGGTGCTGGAATAAGATGAATCCAACTATTAATAATCCACGTTCCCCATTCACCCTTTCGCGGGGTATTTTCGGATCCATGGGATCCTTCGACTTTACCGACCAGCATCAGCAGCAGCAGCCGGAGCTGCAGGTCCCCCCCGAAGGTTCCGGCGACAAGAATGGACTCAATGCGATGCCCTTCCTAGGCCAAATCCACACTAGTCTTCTGCTTTCGCGCCCAATGGGTCCAATAGGTCGCGCACACCCCCCCACCTTCCCTCCGATGGGTGATTCAGATGGGTGAGCGGCAGCAGCTCAGACTCCCCTTCCCCCTAGGACATAACTTACCCCCGGCTCCCCTGCAGATTCAATGCTGTGCCACAGATGGCATCGATGGGACCACCGCCCGTGTTGAGCTCCCTCTGGACAGGCGGCGCTTCTCCGGACAGCCGCGGAGACTACTACGACGGCCCGCACAAAGAGTACTCCGACGGCCGCTACGACGGCGACTACGAGGGCGACTACTCGATGCCCACCGAGGAGGACCAAGAGGAGGAGTCGTGCTCCTGTCAGGGCCAGAGCGAGTTCAGCTCGATAGAGCGCACCGAGTCGGACTCGGAGTGGGAGGAGCTCTCCGACGGCCCTTCCCCCAGGGTCTCTCCGCTGGAGTCCCTCGGCGCAGTCGTGCTCTCCACAATGCAGCCGGAGCACAGTCAGCGCATGGTGGCCTTGTACCACCTCCTCTTGGAGACCGCTGTGGTCAAGGTCGTGCTGCTGGTGATGCAGATGCTGTGCTGCGCGGTGTTCTGGCTGGTCGAGAAGACTGTGGTCGTCAACGAA